ATACTGGGAATTATGGTAACTGAAATTCAATAACTCTGGAGGGTATCAGATTGGGGAAACTTGCATATTATATTGAAAATTATGGTTATTTTGCACAACCAAATGGTTTTATTGGCCTGGTAGAAAAGTCTAACTCCATGCTGTCAGTGTTTTAGAACTTAACTGATAAAGAATTCCACCAAGAAATGCTGACAACTTACGCTAAATTGCATAATCTGAATGATTTTTCAGTAGCACAGATATGACGCACAATAATGCCAGAAAGTTGGAAAGACACCAATGTAATATTTGTACCCAAAGTGGATAAGATTTAAAGAAGACTTAAAGACTTAAAGAAGGAACTATAGGCCTATATCATTATTGATTAGTGACTATGAGTTGTTCTCAATTGCGAATGAAGGCAAATATACGTGTCCCAGAATAATGATGTGAAATCAAATTTGGGTCGGTCACCAGGACCAGAGATTTTCTCAAGCAATGTAGCTGATAGACTGCATATAATTTTGCAAGAATTTATTCAGGAGGATGAGCGTGGTTTTTTACCTAAAAGATAGTTAAAGGATAATGTTTGAAATATTTTCAAATATTTGGAAAAACATAACGAAAAACAATCTGCACTGATTTTCTTAGATGCAGAGAAGGCCTTTGGTAATTTGAATTGAGCTTCTTTCCTCATTAGAAAGATACAAATTTTGGAGAGAACTACAGATAATCCTCAACATAGTATCACAATTGTTAATGGAGATTTAACAAAACTTTGTAATGCAAAAAGGAAAAAACTGGCTTGTCTACGCTCTTCCCGCTTGTTTATTTTGGTTCTTGAAGTACCAGAGAAATAAGTAAAGATGAGAGGATTGTGAGTGTAAAGAGTAAAAGAAGAAACTTATTAGTTAAAGGCTTTTGCAGATGGCATGGTGTTGGTTCTAGAAGAAATTTTAAAGGGAACTGAAATATTAAGGAGCTAGTTAAAAGAATTTGGTGCATTAGCAGGTTTCAAGATGAGTAAACAGAAGAGGAAGATATTAAGAAAAAATGTGAAAATAACAGATCAAACAGAACTGATGAATAAAATTGGTTTCAAAATTGAAAAAAGTGAAATGTCTGGATATCACTATAACACATATGAATTGTACTGTATGTTATTTCAAAATATTTTATTTAATTAATCAAATGTATATGCCTCCCATGTCCCCAATAGGTCAACTCTGGACAGCTCAATAACTATATTGAAACATGGAATGAAATATAAAAAGATGTATTAAGATAAAATAAATGTCTTGCCTAGAATGTTATTTTAGTTTCAAACAATATGATGTATAAACTTTTATTGAAATTTAAAACAGAAGAATAAGTGGGCTAAAAGTTTTGGCTATAATATACATAGGAAACAGTGAGAAAATATGCAGCTGAAAATATTAAAATTCATATTATGTTATAATCTTAAAGAGCATGTTTATAAAATGATGTATCATCGATATACATTATCAAAGAAATTGTCTAGCATCTATAAGAGCACTTCAAATTTATGTTAGAAATGTGAAAAACAGAAGGGATATTTTATCATGCTTGTTGCATGTGTAAAAAAGCTAGAAAATTTTGGAATCAAATACTTAAATTCATGGATTTTAAAGATTAATATACAATTGAGGTATTTGTTTTTGTTTTGGAATTCTATGGCAAACAGTTGGAAAAGAATGATGGAACTTTGTTTTTGTACATAACTACAGCAAGATTATTATACACACAAAGAAGGAAAGATTTGGCATTAAGATTTTTTAAATATTTTGATGAGTAGACAGGATAGATTATAGAAAGAGGATAATTATATTGTAACTGTAGAATAAGAAGTAATTTTATAATTGTACTTACAGCCATCATATTTTTGTAATCCTGGAAATTAGAACTCATAAAGTTAAACCAGCTATCTGCTACCCTGCTACCACAACTGATTTATCTTAGCAAAATAGTGCTTGCTTTCCATTTGCTATTCAGATTTAATTTGAATGTAATAGCCCTAACATATATCTTGCTTTATAACTAACACCTTTATCATTTACAAGGGGAGCTACAGAAAGATTTCAAAGCATACCACATTCTTTAGGCACATAAACAAATTGGCTGCATGTATTACATTTCAATTCAACTTGGTGGCTACTGAATATCTTTGAACAGGAAGAATCTTATGTGCTCTTATCTACTCCTTTGCATATTGCACTGTGCTGTTTAGATTGTGAAAGTCATTTTAATTTCAGAGCGGTACATGTATAACAAACAAGGAAGCACATAAGTAATTTGCCTCCATGTGATTTGGGTACATAAAATATAATTTAGGCTTAGCTCCAGGTGTGAAACAGACATGATGGTTTATTTAATGCACTCTAGATAAAAGAAATAACATATTTCCTAATATGTGAAAGCTGACAATACATCTTATATTCCTCCCTCCTATGTAACAATCAGTATTAACCCTGTACAATGGGGATTGACCCCAATCTGTTCTTTTATGGCTATTGGACTCTATGAGCATTAGACAGAAGCCTATAGGACATTTTCTTACTGTCCTATACATAATTAAGTAACATCACCTACCACGCATCATCTCACATCATTCTATATTCTGATACTTTATGTCAGAAATGGGTTAACGAACTAACATGATCTCTGAAAGATCCATCCAAAAGGTGGGTGACAGCATTGTATTAAATGCCCATAGGGATTGATCTAATCTACTGATCTATAAAGCTATTTGTTTTCTTTTGGTTTTATCTAAGGGATAAACTCCACTATTGTGGTGGTAGGCCCATATGCTACCTTGTACAGGTAGTCCTTGACTTACAACAGTTCATTTACTGATCATTCAAAGTTACAATGGCCTTAGAAAAAGTGACTTATGACCATTTTTCACATAATTATTGCATGGTCAGGTAATCAAAATTTGGATGCTTGGCAACTGGTTCATATTTATGACAGTGGTAATGTCCCAGGGTTATATGATCCCCTTTTGCAATCTTCTGACAAGCAAAGTCAATGAGGAAGCCAGATTCACTTCAAAACCAAATTACAAACAACTGCAATGATTCACTTAACAACCGTGGCAAGAAAAGTCATAAAATGGGGGCAAAACTCACTTAAATGTATCATTTAGCAACATAAATTTTGGGCTCAATTGTGGTCCTAAGTTGAGAACTTCCCGTAGTTCATGATAGCAGTGTTCCAATATTTAAGGGGCTGCCACAAAGAAGAGGCCGTCAACCTATTCTGCAAAACACCTGAATGCAGGACAAGAAGCAATGGATGGAAACTAATCAAGGAGAGAATCAACTAGAAATAAGAAGAAATTTCCTAACATAGCAATCAATCAATGGAACAACCTGCCTCCAGAAGTTGTGGGTACTCCATTACTGGAGGTTTTTAAGAAGAGGTTGGACAGCCATATATTTGAAATGGTATAGGGTCTCCTAATTGAGCAGGGGCTTGGACTAGAAGACCTCCAAGATCCCATCTAACTTGGTTATTCTCTTCTGTTTTGTTTTGTTCTGTTCTGTTCATCCAAATAATTCAGGGAGCCAGAATACTGCCTATTACAGTATTTTATTTTTCTGTATTTTAACAAATTAGCTTTGACATATTTTCTGCATGTATTGTGTTTTTTAAATCTTTTTATTGCAATGATTTTCCTTAAAGCTTTTAAAACATATTTTCCTGCAAACTATTTTTGGTTCCTCTGGAAGAATGGTTTAGAAATATAATAAAGATATAAATTTCCTGTAGGATAGTTTTTTGCTATTTTGTAAAGGATAGGACCATCAGACCTGGCATATAAAAGTCCAGATAAGTATATGATTTTAGCAGAGATACAGAAAATTTAAACTACATTTAAAAGTCATCTGGATTTTAATTTTTTTTTAAAAAAATAAAAATTAATAATTGTAAAGTAAGTGTATCAAGCCTCTGTTAGGTTTAATTTTACTACACATTTACTATCAATTCCCCCCCCAGCAAGTAAAAATATAAAGCCCAAAATTCTGGGTCAATTACTATAGTGATTTTCATGCTGTCACTTTGTCCTGCTATATTTAAAGTGCAGCTGTCAACTGCCCCCCCCCCCCCAAAAAAGGCATTTCTCCTCACTTTATTGCTTTGGTGAACCAGGCAATTAAGATTTACTAAGTACAAATGTGGTTCAGTGAACAATCACTTAAATCCTATAAATCATCATAATTTGTTTCCTTACAGCTTAATATAAGCCTTAAAGATCTATGGAGACTAACACCTCTACCTTTGCTCTACATAATTCACAGTGACATCTGGCTCATAGTCCTTGCAAAGCATTTAGAAAGTTGGTTTTAGATAATTTGGCCACACTCTTCTTCTAAACCCTTTTTTCCTTGCAAATTCCATAAGGTGCCATGGAACTCATCCAAAAACCATACATTTAAATTGTCTTTCAGTTCAGGACCACCAATCCATAAATATGAAACAAATTCTAAGCATTTATTTTTGTGTTTACCACTGTTTTAATCTCAGTTTATGAGGTTAACCAGTTATTTTGGTTAACTTCATAAACTGATATTAAAACAGTGGTAAACACAAAAATAAATGCTTAGAATAATTGTTTCATGTTTATGGATTGGTAGGTTTAAAGGGTTGCAAGTAAAACCTCTGCTTCAGAACAGTCACTCTTCAAAGTTGGTTAAAGTGTTGAATGAAGAAGCTTCTGAAACCCATTCTAATGTAGAGAAAATTTTGATTAAAGCAGTATCATACGGCTAGGAACTGTTTTATCTTGGAACAAATGCAGAGTCTTCACTGGAGAATGTATGTCTTATCTCATGTGTTAATGTAAACACTGTAACAATAAAGAACAAGATTTATTTTTAACTCGGCTTGACCAAAGCTCTGTTGCAATGACTAAAGGTGACAGTTTAGAGAAATATTAATCAGATACATCTATTTAAAGCTCAATCAATTTTCTTTTTTATTATTTTTCTGCAGAAAAGTTAAGTCACCAACACAGGACAATGAAGATGATCAGAAACCTCAGAGACCTCTGGGTCTACCGTCGATTCCTTCTCATTATTTTTACTCCCCTTCTCCTGCTTCCATTACCTCTCATCATCAGAACCAAAGTAAGTGAGAACTGCAGAGCTTTTTCAGCTTGGGGCTGTTTAGATATGCTTCACTGCACCTGACGTGGCCAGCATACCGAGTTGCATTGATTGGGAAAGGCTGGGTTGTATATTGATGTTGAATTGTTTTACCTGACTATATCACTGACTTCCAATATTTTATGCCCTACTGATCTCAGAATGAAATTCTGTACAACATTATAATGTATGTGAGATGAAAATGATCAAGCCTCTTTTTCTGATTTTTTCTTAACGTGATTAAGAATAAACCGAGAAGGATAAACTGAGAAGCCACCAATCAAAATATTTCATATCTTTTGAAATCACAGCTCCTCACAAAATCCTAGAGACTGTGAATTGGTTTACTGCTCATTTGTTCCTTGTGCTCCTCATTGGATATTCACTAGGCTCTAAACAACTACAATAATCATGATAAAAATGCTAAAATCTATGTAAAGGCAATATCTTTCTTAAGGCAACAAAGAAAACATGTAAACTTTTGAGTTCTTCAGAATGGTAAAACAGTTGAGAAGAGATGGGAAATGAAATCAGGAAGAAATAAAACTGACGTTGGCACTGTGTATTGGTTTCTTACATCATAAAACATAATTCAACTTATATCTTATATCTTTATGGTTTAGTATATTGGTATTTGAAGCCAATATAGTTTGTAAATCAAAGCTCGTGACTCAGGTTTTTGTAGAAACCCACTCAATTGTGCTTTAAATAATAAAGCATGGTTAAAGTAAACCTTGACTTACTGTGCTGGGTGAGCCTTGTCACAAACCTAAAACATGTTTAATTGTGGATAGAAAATACTAACATCTATGGAAGTTTCAAACTACAGCTAAGGCAACAGGACTGAAAAAAAAACTTACAGAGGGTTTTGAAAATTCAGTAGGAATGTCAGTAATCTCGTCTTAATAAAATGAAATAAATAAAAAGATGAAAATCATTTTTACAATTGCTATCATATATTCCAGGGGTATCCCCAACCCTGATTCCATGTTCAAACAAGGCAGAATTTTAAAAGTATGGCAGAGGAATACCATACAAACCGTTCTTCCCCAAAGAAGACATTTTCATGAATCTGTACTGGTTAAATTCTAGTTTGTAATATTTGTATTCACACACACAAAAATATCAGATAAGGCCAATGACCTTCCCTAGGGTTACATGTAAGCTTCAAATGTTCTTTCTTGGACCATTTTTTATTTTCCTTTGAAACAGCAGCATTTGGTTCATGCTTCTCCTAAATACCTGTTCTCTGGAGAGTTTTCTCAGCAGCCTTTCCCTCTTTTTGATATCTTAAACTGCCTTCCACTTGTTTTGATTTCAAAACAAAGTGTCATGTCTATGGGGCATTGTATGGAGGCTGCTGGTAGATGGAATTTGGCAGGTATTGGGGTTTTTTTTAACGCATTAGATGCTTTCAATATTAATTAATCAATACCCTCTAAGTTCTGTGTGCATCAGTGGCTGATACATGAGGACCGTGGTAACAATAGAGGATGCAGTTGCCAAGAATGCAGCCGAGGCATTTAAAAAACAGTACAGAGGCTGCATATGAATGCAACATTTTCTATTTAACATCTTCTGGTGACAGAAGGTTAAACTAAGCAGAAAACAGCAGTTTGTTAACTGGACAAGTGTGGCTTTTTATCTGGCAATGTAATCAAGGCACTTGTCAGATGTTAATAATGTTAATGAGTGAATTTTTGACTCCATGAAATTCTACAACAAAACTTTATTTTTGAGAAGCTGTCAACTCTCATCCTGATCAATGACTGTGGCAGTTTTATTAGCTATACGCTTTCCTTCAACTTTACATCTGTAGAGTGTATTTTCACACTACTGCACAGTTCCTTTAAGTGCTAAAGGAGGGAAATAAATCTCCCCTAATGCTGATTTTCTTCCCATCATAATTAGTCATAACAGCATTTTCAGAGAAGTTATTCTGAGAACAAATAAAAATAGACTTTGAAGATTGAAAGGTGAATCTATCACATTCATGCAATGTTCTTTTCTCCAGTGTCTTTTATATAATAAAATGGGTTTGCCATGCAGCAATAACAATATATCCAATGCACAGTCCTTTGGGCATACAGATGTCTGTTTGGATATACAGGTAGTCCTCGACTTACAATCAAAATTGAGCCTAAAATTTCTGTTGCTAAGCGAGACAGTTTTGCCCTATTTTATGACCTTTCTTGCCACAGTTGTTAAGTGAATAACTGCAATTGTTAAGTTAGTAACATGGCTGTTAAGTGAATCTGGCTTTCCCATTGAATGCTTGTCAGAAGGTTGCAAAAGGTTCTGCTCATGATCCCAGGAACTGTCATAAATATGAACCAGATGCCAAGTGCCCAAATTTTGACCATGGGGATGCTATAATGGTTGTAAGCAGGGCTTTTTTTTCTCATAGAACGCCCAGAATGGAGTTCCAGCACCTTTTTTGGATGGAACCTTGTAGGATAGGCAAGGCGGGTTGTATGACGTGTGTGAGTTCCCGCACCTTTTTTATTTTTTTTACAAAAAAAGCACTGGTTGAAAGTGTGAAAAACGGTCATAAGTCACTTTCTTCAGTGCTGTTGTAACTTTGAACAGCCATTAATCTAATTGTTATAAGTCGAGGACTACCTATATAGATGGATGTGATGGATACATAGAGCAGTATAGCTGACAGAGAAACCTATGTTGTCATATGAAACTGATGTGTGTGAAGCAGAGTCTCGTTGTATATTTATGGAAGCTGATATAGCCATAATATAGTTCAGACATGTCAAATCTCGTGACATCACGTGATGTTGCACAACGTATTGGGACGGTTTTGCCATTGCCGGCAATGGGGTGGGAGCGGCTTCTGGATGACGTGTCCGGCCCATGGGCCGGCAGTTTGACATCCCTGATATAATTGGAAGGGCACACTTTGTGTATGTTAAGTTATGAAACATGGGAAATATGATATGGTACTATGAATGGTACAGATAGCAGCAAAGAATCTTATGACATATTGAGCTGTGACCTAGGATTACTATCAGTCTTAATTTTTCTTAGTTTTTCAGCTTGTATAGCTTTATCAAGTTCAGATTATTTCCCTTGAATTTTTTAAAAGTTTGCAGTGAAAATATTCAAGTATTTTGATGCCTATTTCTTTAAGCATCCATGCTTGTGTATGTATTATGTCTCTAACATACATAATATTTACAAATATCTTTCACCAATGTGAGAATTTTTACATTATTTTTACAAATTTATGTTTTTTTTTACTAAACTTTTCATTTAGGTGAGTTAGCATTCTAAATGCTTATGCCATACAAAATGCAAAAATAGTTGTGTTTATGTATTAATTCAAACATGCAAACTTAAATAAGTGTTCATAAATTTGCCAGATGTGAGCTGAAAAATTCCTGGCAGGAAAAAGAAATTTTGATAACTTCTACTATCTAGGGCAGGGGTAGTCAACCTTGGCTCTTTTATGACTCGTGGACTTCAATTCCCAGAATTCCTGAGCCAGCTTAGCTGGCTCAGAAATTCTGGGAGTTGAAGTCCACGAGTCATAAAAGAGCCAAGGTTGACTACCCCTGATCTAGGGGGCCATCCAGATTTTTCAATCCCAAATCCAGTAGCCCTACATTTACATTTGGAAATTTTCAATTTAAATGCACATATCCCCATCTCAGTTGAAAGTTTCCTTTTCCATCTACATAGACGTAATAGTCTTCTCTCAGTATGATTTGACACTGGTCTTTCTAAAATTCTCTAAAAATCAATCCTTTGCAACTTTTAAGTATGTTAATGTTTGGTACCAGAGCTCTAATTCTTAGTAATTCTAAATCATAAGTAGTTAAAACTATGCAGTAAAATTTTGGATGGCATCCTAAGAAATTAATCTTTGTTTGGGAAATATGTGCTAAATATGTATGATTGGCCACAAAAGACAGGTAGCCTCCCACTGCACAGTCTAGATCAGTGATGGCGAACCTTTTAGAGACTGAGTGCCCAAACTGCAACCCAAAACTCACTTATGTATCATCGGGTGTCAGGTGGGTGTGGCCCATTGGGGGGGTGTGGCCCATTGGGTGGGTATAGTCCATTGGGTGGGCATGCCTGCAGTGGTAATGGCAGACTGGATGGGACTAAAAAGTTCAATCAATCAATTCCAACTTTGCGAGATCTTTTTTTTTTCCCACGAAAAGTTGAAATTGATTGATTGAACCTTTTTTTTTTTTTGCACATGGCGGCGGAGGTCTAAAGCGAAAAGGTTTTATAAAACCCAGCTGAAGGACTGGAGCGACGGCGCATGTCCCCACAGAGAGGCTCTGCGTGCCACCTATGGCACACATGCCATAGGTTCGCCACCACGGGTCTAGATCCATAGTGATTATATTTATTGTTGTATTTTCTTTTTAGAATACAATTCTGTAAAAATGGAAGTGTTATAAAAATGAGATTTTATTACTGCATTTTCAACAAATTGCATGCAATAAAATAGAGAAGAATAAATTTCTCTTGTTTACCATCTTATTGAAATGTAGCTGTGCCTAAGAGATGGATAATTTAGTTTCAGGCAGAGAGAAGAAACTATGCTCAATCTGTTATTGAAATGACTAATCTTTCCGGCTAATCTTTCTTCTCTAGAGTACGAGCACAAGAATAGTTTAAGGCATCCTTCATGTAGTAGAGGAAAAAAAAACTGGCTGCAAAAACTTTAGTATGTATAGATTTTTCTTTGCTTTGGTTTCTTGAAGATTTCTTTGCAATTTTACTGAAAGCTGGTAACAAGTAGTGGTTTCCTGTTTTTAATCTCCACTCCGGGACACAATCTGTTGCAGAGGGCTAAGGATGTGGAAAGGCAGACAAAAATGTTCCATCATTAAGAATGGATCTTAGAGTCCCCGTGACACATATATCACATAACTCCATGGAGACTGTCTTATGCATTCCCACCCCCCGAAAGTTTTAGAAGAAACAACAAACATGAAGAAACATCTCCCTAATCCCATTTAGGAGACTGTTTTATTCATATCCAGATCACCAATCTTATATGGCAAATCTCAGTCCAAATATGCAGACTTCAGCAGATGGGAAGTATATGAGAATGCCTTCAAAAAGACTTGGGTCCTAGGGCATTCATTTTTGTTTTTTTTTATTTTGAGGACAAAGCTTAAGCAAAAGAAATAACTCCATGGAGGCACATCCCCAGAATACAAATCTTATATAATTGAAATCAAAACAAGACAATTGGCCTACAGATTGAAAACTGTGATTAGCACAATATTTTTTAAAATCACTTCTATATAGTTATCAAACTAACTGCCCAGATGAGTGCATTTCTGTCAGCAGAATAGTGTTGCCATGAAATCACTTGATTTTAGTCCAAATAAATGTTATTCCCTTTCAGTATGATAACGTGAAACTTCAGTATGGATTCAAATTGGCAGAAGGTTGTCATGGTTAACTTTTGTATGTAGAGGTTGGGTCAGCTTCTGTTTACTGAAGGATTCATTGAAACCTGCAGTTTGACCAGGTGTCTAAACTTTGGTGTACAACTATATATTTGGAATAGCATTTTCTCTTTGGTTCTTTGGATTTTGTCATTTGGCTACAATTATTGTCTAATGTAAATCTAATTTGTTTTATTTTTTTCTAGGAAGCAGAATGTGCATACACATTGTTTGTGGTTGGTATCTTCTGGCTTACAGAAGCTTTGCCTCTGGCTGTTTCCGCATTAATTCCTGCTTTAATGTTTCCACTGTTCGGAATATTGTCTTCAAAAAAGGTATATCTCTTCTGTTTGTTTCTTTTTCTCTACTGTTACTCCAGCAGACAGTCAATTATATTTTAAAGATTATAATGCATGTACTCTCTTTGATCAGATGTTGGTTTATAACAGGCATGTCAAACTCATGACGTCATGTGACATCGCACGATATATCACGACTTTTTTTCCATTGCCGGCAATGGGATGGGCGCAGTTTCAGTATGATGCATCCGGCCCACAGGCCAGCAGTTTGACATGCCTGGTTTATAATGTGCCAAATGCTAAAAGGAGGGCTATGAGAATTAAGCTGCAATAATCCAAACCACCACTAGGGCCAACAAAGATACACAACTCTAATTCTTTGCTGCCATCTAGTTGCTATTTGTGGAACCAATTAAATAATCCTACTAAAATGCCTTGGGTTCACTTAGAGCAGGGGTCCCCAACCCCCAACCCCCGCAAAGCAAAGCGCCATCCGCGGGATGCATGCAGCACACAATACCACATCCCCTCTGGTCCGCAGAAAAACCTGTTCCCACGTAACCAGTCCCTGGTGCCCAAAAAGTTGGAGACCTCTGACTTAGAGCACATCTTAAAATCATCCTGACTTGTATTTATTTCTGCATTAGAGATGATTGTGATGCAGAAATTTAAGAATAGAGCTAGTCTGGTACAATGGTTATTAATACCAGGCTAAAAACCAGCAAACTGTGAGTTCTAATCCCACTTTAGGCATGAAACTGCTGGGTGACCTTGGGCCACATACTCTCTCTCAAGGCAGTGACAAACCAATTTCAAAAAACTTGCCAGGAAAACTGCAGGAACACAGAAAGATGACTGAGCAGGCTGCACTGTGATGGCACTTGTTTGCTTATAATACTAAAAACAAAATCACTTTTCATGAACTGAGCCATAGAATGAAACTGAGATCACTTAGACAACTAAGATACTAAGAAGTGAATGAAAATGACTTCTTACATTCATAATTTAAATTTATCTTACAATTCCCTAATTCTCATTAGCTCAGTTTATTTTATTTATCTCAGTTTCTCTGAAACTGCTTCATATTTTTTTGTTTTAAAAACTTTTTTTATTCCAGAGCAGCCAATGTGTTTTGTGTATTGAATATCAAAAATTTAAAAGCATGCACTTAGCTAATAAGACACATTTTGATTTTTAGGTGGCATCTGCTTATTTTAGAGATTTTCATCTGCTCTTGACTGGCATAATTTGCCTGGCGACATCAATTGAAAAATGGAATTTGCACAAAAGAATTGCTCTGAAAATGGTGATGCTGGTGGGTGTTAACCCTGCATGGTATGTAGCATGCATGCATGCGTGTGTGTGTGTATGTGTGCATGTGTGTGCGCACATGCGTGAAGGTGCCATTGAAATGCCATTTGGCTCAGAAATGACTCTGCTTTGCAACTTAGTTGCCTCCTCTTTTCTTGACATTTTGTTGTCCATTAGCAACCACACACTGGAAAGAAATTCAACAGGTGCTGTTTTAGTACAGTTCCACTATTACAGAAACAATGGGGCAAGTTGAGCTGTAAGGCATTGCCTGTTTACATGCCAGGATTACTGCTCTATTTGGCTGCTAAAGAGATTTGCTACAACCAGCCTTTTACTGAAATTTAATTATATGTATCATTGGGCGAGAAGACAAGTCGCACATGAAATGCTTCTGTTATTGACAATAATGGTGGATGGCTTGGAACGAAATAGCGGACGAACTAGTGAACAACTCTGACTCATCCTCCTTAATGGCTGAGATTAGGCAACCCACGAGATCTTTCATACACTGCATCGCTATTATTCAATTTATAGTTTAGGTAGTTCCAGCAGCAATTTCAGACTCAGAGGAATATTCTGCCTTTTCCCCAATTTGCTGACTGTTCTTACAAAGAAGAAATTAAACCCATGCTGTGCTCTTTTTTGTTGCTCTCAAGGAGTCAGATGGCTCCTACTGTCCCTTGTCAATCCCATCAGCAAGTCAAAAAGGAGTTTGTAAGCACAGCAGGCTCCCTGAGTCTGAATTGCCAGTGGCTGCTGTGATGGGGAAGCAGTAAGCTGTCACTTACCTCTTTGATTGCAAATTAGCAATGTTAGCTAAAGCAGAAGCGTTTCTCCTCCTAATGTTCGATGTGGGTGAACAGGAAGCCACCATAAGAGCCGGTAGATGTGCTGATGCATTCCTACCAACAAACCTAGACACATACAATACTTTGCAAAAAAAAAAAAAAAGTGGACCTTCAACCACAGCCATCTTGATATTTTGCACATGTGGGCATTCCTGCTGGACACCGTGGGATGGATCCAAAGGTAACACTATCTAGCCATTTACGGCAAGCTAGAAAGCTAAGTAGGATTAGCCTTGAATAGTATTTGTATGAGACGTCATTAGGAAACCTCATGCCAATATAGAATAGACCAGTATTTCTCAACCTTAGCCTGTTAAGTTGGGTGGCAGGGAAATTCAGGGATAAAGGCGGATATATCATATGTAATGTTGCAGGATAATGTTGCAGGATCCAATATGGGTCAGTCACCAGGACCAGAGGTTTAGTCTCCCAAGCTGGACTTGTGCTGGAGCCTATCCTCAGGCAGAGTGTGTGCTTTGGACTATTCTGTATGTGGTATTTATATGGTGCCTGGTGTATGGCTTTTTAGTAGTTGATTGGGATGTTGATGGCTGGCTATTAAGTCACTGGCTGTCGTTTCCTTGTGCTGCCAAGCCCTCATCTCCTATATACTTGATAAGCTGGTGGTAAAGCTGGAGTTGAAGTCCACACATCTTAAAGTGGCTAAGATTGACAAACACTGAAATAGACTAAAAGTACATCTTTTATACCTATCTTCTCAGAGAAATTTAAGCTATAGTTCTATAGATATTCACATGGGGATACATTTCAGTAGTTTCAATACTTAGTTATGTAAATTACACATTTAGACTATAATACTGTAATCGGTTTCCTGAGACCCAAGTATTTTAAGTGTCATGTCACATGTACAATGATCCTTTGCAGTAATGTGAGTATATAATGTAAAATATGCAGAGTATATTTCGAACATAAGAGTAATTGAGAGTAAACAATATTTTTATTAGACAAACATAGACTTGCTTGGTTGCTGCACACACAGATGTACACACAAAAGTAATGACAATTCAATGCTGCATTTAGAGCCTCACACATCTTCTCCAATCATACGAGTGAGTAAACAAGTCACAAAGTTTAAATTTATTATACTTTTCCATTTAGTTTGGTCTGGGAAGTTATACCAAGGAAACATTACAAAGTTAATAAGCTACAGCTGCCCCATGCATCTTTCCTTATAATCTGTAATGGATTTTCCCAGAGGGAAGCTAAATAAATTGATCTTTCTGATGCTTATAATATGGTTTTTGGAATTAAATATATTTGAAATTCCTTCTACAGGAGATGGCATATTCATCATAATTGACTTATGCCTTTGAATTGTTCAGTCCCGCAACCACTCTTCTGCTTCTCAATCTTGATATCTTCATGCTTGTATGCATTACATTTTCTCAAGTCAGCATTTTGATAAAAGAATATTTTATACACTTTTCTGTAAGAGTAATAGAATATAGATTTGACTTCAGATAATATTTTAATTTAACTCAATTAAGTTAAATTAGTTTGCTAGGTTGGGCAAAGTTTTTATTATGCAATGATGTCATCAATTGTAAATTTGTCAATGGACTCAAACTTTTGACAGCAAATTGCTGCTGCATTTTCACGGGTTGTTTAATGGAGAACTATTGCCTTTAGTGGTGTTCTTTAATATTATTGAATAAGCTTTATCAACTTTAACAGAAGTTTTAAAAGAAAGTTTTACTTTAGAAGTTATTGATAAATGCATAGAGGTTCGACACTAGAAACATACTCTGTTCACTATAGTTTGTGAATGACAGAATCAATGTTCATATATAGTAGAAATGGAGAAAGTGGCAGAAAGTATTTATGGAAGAACTGGAAATTAAAATGCGATGAACATCACTGATTAAAGTAATTTGAATAATAGGGCTTTTATTAGATTAGATAGAATTCTGGTTTTGCTATAATGAAGTTATTTTTGAAGTTATATTGCTTGCACCTTCATTATTCATTTTTTGTTTATTAAAAAGTCTGGATAATGAATGGAATTGACCTTCACTTGATAGCAATAAAACGTTTAAGCAGTTTATTTAAAGCTGCTGGATAGCACTTGTTATAAGCAAAGAGTTTATGTAGAAACACTCATAAAGTAAAACCTATGGATATTGCTAATGTTGTAGGGTCCCAATATGTACAAGTAGAAACCTGAATTATTTAACTGTGGTGATAGCAAAGATGTCAGTTTTTCTTATTTGGAAAAGTAAGACATTGTAAATAGCATGTAGGAGTGTCAGACATAATACTACTACTACTACTACTACTAATACTACTACTACTACTACTACTACTACTACTACTACTACTAATAATAATAATAGTAAAGTTGGAAGGAACCTTGAAGGTCATCTAGTCCAACCCCCTGCTCAGGCAGGAAACCCTATACCATTTCGGACAAATGGCTGTCCAGTCTCTTCTTAAAAACTTCCAGTGTTGGAGCATTCACCGCTTCTGGAGGCAGGTTGTTCCACTGGTTAATTGTTCTCACTGGAACAACCTGCCTCCAGAAGCGGTGAATGCTCCAACACTGGAAGTTTTTAAGAAGAGACTGGACAGCCATTTGTCCGAAATGGTATAGGGTTTCCTGCCTGAGCAGGGGGTTGGACTAGATGACCTTCAAGGTCCCTTCCAACTTATTCATCTTGAACACTGTTGAAACTGTCAAAATCAAATGCAGTATACATACATACATACATACATATATACATACATACATATATATATATGTTTTCTGAGGTTTTCGCGGGTGTTTGTATGTAGGTCTTTAGTTATTCGGGTTTTCTCCCGCGTAGAATTAAAAGTACCTTGGCGACGTTTCGACGAAGTCACATTCGTCATCTTCAGGCTGGTGTCTTCAGCTTCGTGCTTCTAAGAGTGGTGTGTGATCGCAGCTGTTTCTTCCTTTTAACTGCC